AAGTGTAGGTAGAGGCCACTGTTATTTCTCTGAACCCTCCCCTCACAGAGCCACAGACCTGGCAGGTGGGAGCCATATCTGAGTCTCCATCAACCTGGCTAACACTGTTCCCCTGCCCTGGTGATTCCCTGAAGCCCCGCCCCACCAATTTGTGGGCCCACCCAAGCTGTTTCCAGTGTCTTTTCCATAAGAATGGCCTATTTGGCTCATGATTCAGACTTTCCTAAAAATCTCTCAAACAAGCAGCATCTAACCTCAGCATGCCCTGTACCTTTTGCTAAGTAGCCCCAGACCCAGTACTAGCAGCAGCTGGCCTTAGTACACAGCTTGGCCTCTCCTGGGCACTTCAAAGCCTAGCACAAGTAATAGCTGTCTGCAGATCACTCTGTAGCTCATGCTGAGTAGCCCCAGGGACAGTCAGTGGCTGACCTTGACCTGCACCTCTCTGGAGGCCCCAGAGCCAGAACACTCAGTGGACAGCTCTAGACCTCATCTAAGCACCACCCAGCCTCCTCCACAAACAATACACTCAAGGGGCACACTGAGCAGGCACCAGAGCCCCAGTGAAGTAAGTCCTGCCCCATGGGGTGGGCCCCTGCACAGCTGATGCTACACCATGGTTGCAGCCAGTCCTTGCAGCTGATGGCCCTTGGGGTAAATCTCCCACCCCCTCACCATTGGTGTGCCAACAGCAATCAAGACTCAACTACAATGGGAGGGTGTACACAGTTCATGGTTTAGGGGATGGGGCTGGAATGCCCAGCTCAGGTGAATGGGGAGACTGTGTTACTGAACCCTACAGGACACCTACTACATTACTACATTAAACTACTCTACCATGCCTGGGAGACATAGTAGCTCTGCCTAATACATAGAAATAAACAGAAGGAGGCTGCCAAAATGAGGAGACAAAGAAATATGTCCCAAATGAAAGAATAGAACAAATCTCCAGAAAAAGATCTAAACAAAATGGAGACAATCTACTAGATGCAGAGTTTAAAACACTGGTAGGTGGGGCTATAAGAATGTTTAATGAACTTAGAAGATAGGTGAACTTAGAGAGAATATCAGCAGCATTAAAAACAACAACAACAACAACATGGAAACCATACAAAAGAACCAGTCAGAAATGAAGGATACACTAACTGAAATGAAAAATAACTTACAGGGAATCAATAATAGAGTAGATGTAGCTGAGAATCAAAACAGCAATTTGGAATATAAGGAAGCAAACAACACCCAATTAGATCAGAAAAAGAAGAAAGAATCCAAAAAAAAAAAAAAGAGAGAGAGAGAGAATAGTGTAAGGTGCCTCTGGGACAATGTCAAAGTACCAACATTCACATCATGGTAGTGCTGGAAGGAGAAAAGAGAGAGCAAGAAATTGAAAATATATTTTAAAAAAATGATGATGGCGGCTGTACAAGCCTCTGGCATTGGGAAAAGGAAGCATAGGAGCAAAGGTGGAGCTGGGGGCCACAGTGGATGGTTCACTGCTGCTGTGCACTATTCTGCTGGGTGTGGGCTGTGGTCTGGGTCTGCACCTGGGCCATGGATGGTGGGGCAGTAGACTGCGAGGTGCTCACCTGGCTCTTCTATGATGCTTTGGTGCACTTCACACTGGAAGAGAATATGGCAAAGCTGATGCAAGATGGCTTCATTTTGACCCAACTATCGTGTCTTTGGAAATTCCAACTATTATCCTGGATGGATCTCTGGAATTGGTCCTCATTTATGCCATAGTCAAAGAGAAATATTATTGGCATTTCATACAGATTACTCTGTGTGTGTGTGAATTTTTTGGCAGATGGATGACCCACTCCCTAGACTGGCTTATATGAAGCCCCAACCTCAACACCAACAATTGGCTCTCGTTTTGGGTCTCTGGTATTTTTCAATAGGATGTTGGTTCTGATCCCAGGACTGTTACTGTGGCAGTTAAGGGTAGAACTGAAGAAAATGTATCACAAAGGAACCAATTTAGGGAAAAAATTCCAGTGAATTTTCAAAACGATAAACATTATTTTCTGCTTTATGAGCCAAAATGGATCAAACCCTTTTGGCCAAAACTAAATACGTTCCAGTCTACATTTTCTTTTATATTGTTATTCCTGAACAACCTACTTCGAATTGACTGTAAGGTGGCAAGATTTTGTTTTTGGTTTATTTTTCTACTTAAATGGCAATATAGGGAACAAAGAATAAATTTTAACTGGTAATACTCATACATTTAATTATGATTTTTATGGCTAAGATTAATTGTTCCATATTAATATAGCCAATGAGCACAATTAATTAATTAATTAATTAAAAAAATAATGACAGAAAACTTCCCTAACCTGGTGAAGGAAATAGATATGCAAATCCAGGAAGTGCAGAAAATCCCAAACAAGATGACTAAAAAAGGGCCTATACAAAGACACATCATAATTAAAATGCCAAAGGTTAAAGACAATATGAATCTTAAAAGCAACAAGAGAAAAGTAATTAGTTACCTACAATGGAGCTCCATAAGATTGTCAGCTGATTTCTCAGCAGAAACTCTGCAAGCAAGAAGGGATTGGCAAGAAATATTCAAAGTCATGAAAAGCAAGGACCTACAAATAAGATTGTCTTACTCAGCAAAGCTATCATGTAGAATTGAAAGACATACTAAGAGCTTCCCAGACAAAAAAAGAAGCTAAAGGAGTTTATCACCACCAAACCAGTATTACATAAAATGTTAAAGGGTCTTCTTTAAGATAAAGAAGAAAAAGAAGATAAGACAATATTAGGAATAAAGTGGCAAGAAATACATATCTATCAACAATTGAATCTAAAAATCAAAATAAAAAAACAAGCAGAACAGAAACAGACTCATAGATACAGAGAATAGACTGAGAGTTGCCAGAGGGGAGGAGGATTAGGGGGATGGGTGAAAAAGCTGAAAGGATTAAGAAGTACAAATTGGTAGTTACAGAATAGTTATGCAGATGTAAAATACAATATAGGGAATATAGTCAATAATTTACTAATAACTATGTGTGATGTCAGATAGGTATAAGTTTTATTGGGATGATCTCTTAGTAAATTGTATGTCTAATCACTGGGGTGTACACCTGAAACTAATCTAATATTTCATGTCAACTAATTGAAAGAATAAAAAGTGATTTAAAAACAAAAAACCCTAAAACAATACGATATCATGAGTTAGGGAAGCATGAGTGTGTATTGTATCTGCCTATTTTTTTAATCCTGGTTCTGTCAGAAGAACAGAAGCCACTCTATATACTTCAAGAGTGAAAGGCTTTAAAAGAAAATTAAATGTTTATAAAAACTGTTGCAAGGGCTGGAGGAGTGGGATCTCAGCTTGTACTTGAAGGGGTCATTCTCAAAAGCTCACTTGTAAGTGGCTGCAAATGGGAAGCTCACATAATTATTGTAGCCATGTGGCCCCAACCTAATTATAGAGAAGACTGATTAATACGGAATCAGTCTGTGTCCAGAGCAGAGAAGGGTGAAGGTAGTAGAGAACATTCAGAGTAATGTTGGAACTGTGCAGAATAGCCTCTTATTCTCTCTGCATCCATTCCTCTCTTCTTCTGGAGTAATATAGCTCTTTTCAAGCTGGGAATATAGTCTTTGAGAATAAAGACTACAATTTTCCAGCCTCCTTTCCAGCTAAGTGCATCCATATGACTAGGTTCTGGACAATGGGATGTCAGTAAAAGTGGTAAGAAAAATTTCTGAGATGTGCTGTTAAAGGAATAAACATGCCCTTCTTTTCCTTTTTCCTGGGAGATAAGACTTGATGGCTGGAGCTGGAGCAGCTGAAACTTGGACATGAGCCTCTTGTTATAGACGACAGTGCACTAAGTTTACATGAGGAATATAATTCCATTTTGTTCAGGCTATTCTCTCCCACTTCCCTCCCCCTTTTTTGTCACTTGTAGCCGAGCCTAATCCTGAGTAATATAAACTAAGTCTAAAAAAGCGAATATAAGTTCACCAAGGAATAGAACATTTCACATAGGAACAGCATGTACAAAAGCTCAGAGTTCTGAAGAGGCGGTATGCTCAGGGAATGTCAAGGGTTTTGTGTGATGGGAGATGAAACTGGAAGTGAGTTGGGATGAGCCATAGCAGAATCTGGACCAAATAGGCAGGGCTGCAGCAGAGAGACCTCTTTTTGGAAGCTATGACGGTGATCAAGGTGAGAGACAAGTAGGGCTGTGATGTGACCGGTGGTGGAAATAGGAAGAAGGGATTGATTGAAGATATATTTAGGAGCAAAAATCAGGAGTTTATAAATGTTTGTGTTTAAATATATGGAATGGGCATGTCATCAGAGAAAGGTCTGGGCTCTTTGGCTTCCCCTCCTCAGAGGTCCTGTTCAGCCTTTCTCCATGAGGAGAATCCTACTCTTACCCGAATTCTTGGGGTCTGGAGACCCTGGTCCAGATTCTGCCTGTCACCATCTCTCTTCACCTCATCTGACTTCCTGCTTGTCCCAGGATTATTTGATAGGGGGGTGTGGGAGAATCTTTAACCCTGTAAATGCTGACTCTCCTTTTCTGCCTGTAGTGGAGCTGTCAAGGGCTGCTCAGGTTCAGGCAGGCAGCTGGACGCTGTCTCTATCTGGTTGGAGCACAGTGTCTCTGGGCCATTGAGTAAGAGAGGGGCCCTCAGCAGACAAACAGGCTTGTCTGTACCGGTGGGCCAGCCATCAGGTGAATGGGAAGGTTGAAGGTCATGGGGCTTGGAGTGAACTGGGTGAGTTCAGCCCCACTCCTTGTAAAACTTTCCAGGAAGCCCTTTTCTACTGGAACAGCTTCCTGATAGGAGGGCACTCATTAACACTGCGGGTGCCAGGAAAGGGCAGGAGTTGAGCACTGGGAGGCAGCTGAGGTCATCCTTCTTTGAACGGCCACATAGTATTTACTCAAAGCAATTGTTGCCAGCGGCCCAGGCCCCTGGAGTATAAAGCAGAATGCTTGCTCTCTGTACCCAGACTGAGCAGGTGAGCCGCTGGGGCACAGGGAGTCCTGAGGGAGGGGATGACAGGGAGCTCAGCAGAGAACTGGGCTGGGAGCTCAGAGCATCCTTGCGGAACACTTTGGCAGAGTTGCTTCTTCCCCCTTGGGAGCACTTCAGTTTTCCCAGCCATGAAATGGGAGGCAGGAAGAGAGGGGAACAAGGGAGTGAGGGCAGATGTGGCCTAGGGAGCTCCCTCGGGGTCTGGGGAGGGTGGTGGTGGGGTAACCTTCACAAAGCAGTTTGAGCTCCATAATCCATGTTATGTGATTAAGGTGAAAAAGGAGTCCTCCTATCCCAGGAAGACACCCTTTTCTTCACAGCCACACTCCCCCAGGTCAGTGCTCTTGAGCCCCAACAGCACTGTGCTCCCTACACCCCGAGGAAGTGTTCGCAGATTTTGGGTAGGCTGTCCCTGGAGCAGGGTCCTCTGGGACAAGTCTCTCCTTGGCTTCTTCATCTTACCTCGGCCTCCATTGGCCTTCCTTCTGAGTAGGTGACAGCAGGCATGGCTGCAGTTCTGACCTGGGCTCTGGCTCTCCTCTCAGGTGGGTCTCTAATCCTGACTTCAATGTGGAGGTGAGGGTGGGGGCTAGACTGAGGGGGCGGTCCACCTGTGGGGGTCCCCAGCCACTAATCACCCCATCCCTTCCCACAGCATTCTCGTCTGCCCAGGCACGGAAAGGCTTCTGGGATGCCTTTAGCCAGAGCAGTGGGGACAAAGGCAGGGTCGAGCAGGTCCAGCAGCAGAAGATGGCACGGGAGCACGCGTGAGTGGCCAGGGCAAGGGGTGCGGGGGAAGGGAGGAGGTACGCAGGCCGTGAGGTGTTGCACTGCCTCTGGCTCCTCATCCTCCGAGGTCTGCACCGAGGCAGAGGAACCAAGCGGTGCTGGTTCTGCAGCTTTCCTGGCCTTCCTGGGCGGTGCTGTGCCCTCTACCGGCAGTATCCCCACAACCCCCTTTGACTTCACTACCCCTGCTCGCCGTGAGGCGTGGGACCTGAGAGCCGTGCAGAGGACCCCCACTCCGTCCCCCAGAATAAAAGGATTGTGGGACAGTCCAGGTGCATATGTGCTTCCATGAACGGTGTTGGTCTGGACTGGCACGTGCCATGTTTTTGTACTTAGTGTGTGAGGACGTGCGTCTGGCCCGAGGCTAGGACTAGAGATCCCCTCTGGGATCACCCCCCTACATCCTTGGTGTCCCCAGATGATCAGTGAGCGATGTCTCTGGGGGCAAAGCAGATGATGGGGGCTAGCAGTCTGACGGCCTGAATGTGTGACTCCTTCCCCAGGCGCCTGAAAGACAGTCTGGAGCTAGACCTCAACAATACGGATAAGTTCCTGGAAAAGCTAGGTTCTCTGAGTGCGCAGGGGAAGGAGCCTCCCAGGATCCCCTCCAACCCAGAGGGAATGCGGCAGCAGCTGCAGGAGGAACTTGAGAAGGTGAGGGCGCGCCTGGAGCCCTACATGGCTGAGGTGCACCAGCGCGTGGGCTGGAACCTGGAGGCTCTGCGACGGCAGCTGAAGCCCTACACCACAGACCTGATGGAGCAGGTGGCCCTGCGGGTACAGGAGTTACAGGAGCAGTTGCACATGGTCGGCGAGGATACCAAGGCCCAGCTGATGGGGGGCGTGGACCAGGCGCAGGGCCTGCTGCAGGAACTGCAGAACCGCGTGGTGCACCACACCGGCCGCGTCAAGGTGTTGTTCCACCCCTACGCCGAGCGCCTGGTGACCGGCATCCAGCACCACGTGCAAGAGCTGCACCGCAGCGTGGCACCGCACACCGCCGCCGCCAGCCCAGCACGCCTCAGCCGCTGCGTGCAGGTGCTTTCGCGCAAGCTCACGCTCAAGGCCAAGGCCCTGCACGCGCGCATTCAACAGAACTTGGACGACCTGCGGGAAGAGCTCAGCACCTTTGCCCGCACGGGCGCGGACCGCGCGCAGGAAGGGGCCCACCCGGACCCCCAGCTGCTGTCCCAGGAGGTGCGCCAGAGACTCCAGGCTTTCCGCCACGACACCTTCCAGGAGATCGCTGCCTTCACCCGCGCGATTGACCAGGAGACTGAGGAGGTCCAGCAGCAGTTGGCGCCGCCCCCACCTGGCCACAGCGCTTTCGCCCCAGAATTCCTCCAGGACGACAGCAGCAAGGCCTGGAGCAAGCTGCAGGCCCGTCTCGACGACCTGTGGGAAGACATAAACTACAGCCTTCGTGACCATGATCTCGGCCATCTAGGGGAGCCCTGAGGGTCTATTTGCCTAGGCCCACTTCCCAGCTCCTTATTTGGAGAGCCCAGGACCTGAGCCCCAAGCACGGTTCAGTCCTGGCCAGTGGCCTATTGGGCAGAGGGTGGAGGGCCCTGCACAGGATAGGTGACGCCACCGAAGGGGCTGTTGTCCCTGCATATCCAGCCTCCTGTGATTCCCCAATCTGGATGCATTACACTCACCAGGATTTGCAACCCGGCTGCCCGTGCTCATTTGGAAATCCTCATGAATTGCTCCATTCCGTGAAGGCGGGAGTGGGAAGGGAGAAAGGCACATCATGAGCAGGTAATTATGGGCAAGCTTGTTCCCATGAAGCTGGAAGCCTGTGCCTCTCCAAGCCTGGGCTTGACTGTGATCACTTCTGGCCCCCTGGTGGCCTCTCCTACAGCCGGCCCACAGAAAGCAGCTCTTTTTTCTCCAGGGCTGCTGTGACAGCTTCTGTTGGGGGAAGAGAGGGAGAAAGGAGGAAAATGTGATGAGGAGAGCATGGGATTATGTGTATGTATATCCCTTCTGGCTCTGAAGCTGGAGGGTACAAATGGTGGGAGTTTTAATGGGAGAGAGCAGAGCTTGCATTTCTTACACAGCTCTACATTTAAACGGCTTACCAAGCCCTCTGAACTGTGGAGGCTTCTTAAACTCTCTGGGGAGCATACTGTGTGCCCTCCCCATCTTTGGGTCCTCTCTTCTGACTCTCAGGCTGAAGTCCAGACTTCTGACTCAAATAAAATAGATGCTTATAATGCAAGCTTATTTGCCTCGTGTGACTCTCATTTGGGCCATGTCTGAAAGCAGTACCCTCACCATATCTGCAAATCATGCCCATCAGATACCACAGTCCCTCACTGTAATGCCTACTCACCACAGGATGGTGTGCACGAAGTGCAGGCTCCTGAGCTGGCCTCTCCCCTTTGCCCTTGCTGTTCCAGATTTCGAATGGTCCCTTTTTATGACACTGACCCTCTTTTTAGGACCCCCAAACTCTTAAACTCCCCAGTCCCCATATACAGATTCACTTAGGGACAATAAAGCTCCTTATAGATCCTCTGGGAACTCTGAAATTGGAGGTGAGTGAAGTGGAGGAGGGGGAGTGGGAAGGGTAAGCACATCCTTTCCACCACTCTTCTAATATCTTGTCCAGCACCCTTTCCTCCTAGCTCAGCCCTCCCTGCACAGGGTTCTCAGCACCTCTGCACTCCCTCATAACACAGACCCCACATGAATCTGGCTTCATTGTGCTCACAGGCTGAATTTCTATCCTGACACCCTCGATTTAGTAACAGAACTGGGAGAGAAGTACCCAGGGAGAGAAGATACTGGAAAGGAAATCTCCTCCCCCAATAAAAAGGTGTTTCTGTTGTTAGGAATCTAGGAGATGTGAGTCAGCTGGGGTTGGAGGTGGTGGGGGTGAAGGGTTGGAAATAAAACCAAGGGTTGTGTACTTGAGGCTGGAATTTGGCCAGATGTTTATGAGGACAGAAACAGGAAGTGGGAAAAACAGAAAGGGAGAACATTATTGAGGGATTAAGGGACTAGATTTGAAACAGAGTCTGGTCCAAAAGTGGCTCAAAGGAAGCCCAGGTGGGAGCGCACGTCCCCAGGAATACCAATGGGCAAACCTGGCCTCTAGATGTCAAGCCTCTTGTAATCAGACTTATGGTCAATAGTTAGAACCCTGTGCAATGGAGATATTGCGAAACTCAAAGGCACTGCCCTGGGTCTGGGAGGACGTCCACGGGGAAGTGACGCCTGAATTAAGGTAGAGGCAAAGCAAAGCTTGAATCTGGCTGTGGAAGTTTGGATCATTTGCAACTTAGCACCGTTAAGGGCCTAGAGTCTGCGGCCTCTTTAAGAAAGGGCCGGGAGGCAGCAGGCGGAAGTGCTGGAGGAAGGGGTGTGGCCAGGAGAGGAGAGGAAGCCGGAACGCGTGCGGAGAACTGCGCGTGGAGGCGATGTCGGCCAGTGGGGCCGTGGAACCGGGGCGCCCGGGGGTTGCTGCCGCCCCCTCGCCCACCCCAGGCCGGGCTCCCGTGCCGGGACGCTTGTTCCGGCCTATTAGCGCCGAGGATGAGGAGCAGCAGCCCACCGAGATTGAGTCGCTGTGCATGAACTGTTACCGCAACGTGAGATGGGGGCGCGGCCTCTGGGTGGGAGTAGGCCTGTGCTGAAGAGGCGAGAGGAGTGGGGGTTGGCCACCCCCCTGAATGCGCCTGGTTGGGGACCCGGGGTTGGGGCGCCCCCGGAGGTCATTAGACAAGGAACTGGAGTTTCATTGGTTCTTGACTTGGCGTTCTCCTTTCCCAGGGCATGACGCGCCTCCTGCTCACCAAGATCCCCTTCTTCAGAGAAATAATCGTGAGCTCCTTTTCCTGCGAGCACTGTGGCTGGAACAATACGGAGATCCAGTCGGCAGGCAGGATCCAGGACCAGGGAGTACGCTACACTTTGACGGTCAGGGCGCCGGAGGTGAGAGGAGTCCAGAGCAGGTACCTTAGTGTCCTAGAGAAGGTTTGGGGGTTGGAGCCAGAGCTCTGGTTCAGGAGGTTGGACTTGTAATAAATACCCCAAGTGTCCAAGCCTCACTTCCTCCTTTATAAAATGGTGTTGGTCCTGTTAACTGATCAGGTGAGACTTGTGGAAGTGCAATTTAAATTTTGTGAAAGGGTATCAAATGAGTAGTAGCTGTTAGGAAAGATACTCTTACCATTTGGGCAGCTTGGCTCACACCACATGCACTGTTCTGCACTGGTAGCCTGGACTCCTAAGAGGAGAGAGGAGGAGAGAAGCTGGGCTGGGGTCTGATGGAGGGGGCAGTCTGGTATTTACTGAGGAGAAGCTGTACTGCTGACCTCTCTGGACTGCAAGTGTTTTTTTCTGCCCAGGACATGAACAGAGAAGTAGTAAAGACTGATTCTGCCACCACAAGGATCCCAGAGTTAGATTTTGAAATTCCTGCCTTCAGCCAGAAGGGAGGTAAGTTTAAGGTCAGGGTATTTGAGCTGTGTATGCCTAGCTGGAATCTTACTCACTTTCTTGTAAAATCCTTGGGGCCAAATCTAGTGGCTGTGTATGGGTTTGGCCATGTAAACACTGTGATCATCATTGTTTTAACATAAGCAGAGAACTTAGATGAAACCGTTTGGGATAGTGGACAGTGATAGGAAGACTGATGTGCTTATTCCTGGAATTTTATCATTACTGTTATCAGAGCTGAATGGAACCTTGTTCCCAGCCTCATTTTACAGATGAATGCAACACCCATATACTGTATTTTGTCGTGTATAATGCTCACCTTTCTTGCCCAAAATTTTAAGGGGAAAATTAAGAATGTGCATCATACATCAGTAGTACTAATTCCCTATCTATGTAAATGTTTTTAATTATTTTTTAAAGTGTATTTTATTGATTTTGCTGTTACAGTTGTCCCATTTTTTTCTCCCCTTTCTCTCCTCTGCCCTGCACCCCCACCTCCCTCCAACATTCCTGCCCCTTAGTTTATTCCCATGGGTCATACATATAAGTTCTTTGGCTTCTCTAATTCCTATATTATTCTAAACCTCCCTCTGCCTGTTTTGTACCTACTCTTTACGCTGCTTATTCCCTATACCTTTTCCCCCATTCTCCCATCTCCCTTTCCTTCCTGATAACCCTCCATGTGATCTGTGAGTCTGTTCCTGTTCTACTTGTTTGCTTAGTTTGTTTTTTGGTTCAGTTGTTGATAGTTGTGAGTTTGTTGTCATTTTACTGTTCATAGTTTTGATCTTTTTTTTCTTAAATAAGTCCCTTTAACGTTTCATGTAATAGGGCTTGGTGATGATGAACCCCTTTAACTTGACCTCAGCTGGGAAGCACTTTATCTGCCCTTCCATTCTAAATGAGAGCTTTGCTGGACAGAGTAATCTTGGATGTAGGCCCTTGCCTTTCATGCCTTTGAATACTTCTTGCCAGCCCCTTCTCGCCTGCAAGATTTCTTTTGATAAATCAGCTAACAGTCTTATGGGAACTCCTTTGTAGGTAACTGTCTCCTTTTCTCTTGGTGCTTTTAAGATTCTCTCCTTACTTTAATCTTGGGTAACTTAATGATGATGTGCCTTGGTGTGTGCTTCCTTGGGTCCAACTTCTCTGGGACTCTCTGAGCTTCCTGGATCTCCTGGAAGTCTTATTTCCTTGGCCAGATTGTGGATGTTCTCCTTCATTATTCGCTTAAATAAGTTTTCAATTTCTTGCTCTTCCTCTTCTCCTCTGGCACCCCTATGATTTGGATGTTGGGACGTTTACAGTGTCACAGAGGTTCCTAAGCCTCTCCTCATTTTTTTGAATTCTTGTTTCTTCATTTTGTTCCAGTTGAATGTTTATTTCTTCCTGCTGTTCCAAATCACTGATTTAGTCCCAGTTTCCTTCCCTTTACTGTTGGTTCCCTGTATATTTTTATTTACTTCACTTTACATAGCCTTCACTTTTTCCTCAGTTTTGTGACCATACTCAACCATTTCTGTGAGCATCCTGATGACAGTGTTTTGATCTCTGCATCTGATTGGTTGGTTTTCTCTTCATCACTTAGTTGTATTTTTTCTGGAGTTTTGATCTGTTCTTTTATTTGGGCCATATTTGTCTCGGCGTACCTGTTATGTTGTAAGGGGCAGAGCCTTAGGAATTCACCAGGGTGGGGCAACCCACTTGGCTGTGGTGTGGTGCTATATGTGGCTGGAGGGGTCAGAGAGGGACAAATGCCACTTGCTCAGCTCTCGCCCCACTTTCAGTCTCTTCCCAGCTACCCACAAGCAAATTGGGCCCTTCTGGTGCCAATTCCTGGGTGGGTGGGTTAGGGTATGTTCTGGGACACTGTGAGTCTCTCCAAAGAACTCCGTTGTGAGACTGAGAGTTTTCTCCTGCTGCTGCAACCCCCACAGGTTTTTATAGCGAGAGGTCTTGAGGCTTTCTTTTCCTGTGGTGGAACCCTGGGTTGCACCGTCTCACTCTCCTGTTGTTCCTCCTGGTTTATCTGCATATACATATGTGGGAATGCCTGGTTTGCCAGCTACCACCTTGCCATGTGTTCTCTCCGCCCCTCCTACTAGTGTAGATGAATGTTTCTTCTTTAACTCCTTGGTTGTTGGTCCTCCATACAGTTCAATTTTCTGGCAGTTCTGGTTGTTTTTTGTTTTTAAGTTTGTTGTCCTTTTGGTTGTGCGAGAAGGCAAAGTGTATCTATCTACAACTCCATCTTGGCCGGGAGTCCTAATTCTTTTATTTCTGTTTATGCATTAAAAGAATAACTGTAGAAAGCAATAACGCTATCTGTTTGCAAAACAGTACCCTGGAATATGATAATTGATTTTGTTTCTAAATATAAATAAATAAAAAATTGAATTAAAAAATTAAAATGAAAGATTTTTTCCTGAAAGTTTGGGCCAAAAACGTGGGTACACATTATACAAGAGAACATATTATACACAGCAAAATACGGTAGTTCAGGTATCACCCAGGGTCATACAGGTACCTGATAGCAAAGCCTACAGAGTTACCTGTCTTTTGTTTGTATTCACCAGCTCTGACCACTGTTGAAGGATTGATCAGCCGTGCTATCTCTGGCCTGGAGCAGGACCAGCCCACACGAAGGGTAAGCTGGGATTTTCTGATTGGAGCAGCTGAAGGAATAATTACTTATATGCATCTGAATAGAGTATTCAGCTTTCCATGTAGGTGAAATGTCTCTTGGCTGAATGTTGGAGGACTTTTAGGGGAAGC